TTTACATGTCCATAACAAGACCCTATAGTAGAGGAGGGATTTTTTGTTACACCTATTATAACTTTAACCCTTTAAACCCTAAGATCAAAATTTGAATTCTCATTTGTTGCCCCCGTTCATTTCCTACAAAAGTAGTGGGGAGAAGTTGATAAAATATCAAGCAAATTCATCTTGTGTGATCATGTCCATAATTCTCATGACCACTCTGTTTTACAAAGCATCGACATTAGAGGGAGAAATTTGATGCTGATCACTCTTAGAGCTTAAAGGGTTAAAGACATGATAGAATGTGAATTTCTGTAGCGTAAAAATTCAGCAGTTACATTAAGGAGAATACCTTTATTTTTGGTAAAATAAAACAATAAATTTTTTATTGGAAGCAATCACAAATTGACACCAATGATAATACACGCCGCAACAGTGTTGTTGAAAACTATTTTATTACTAGACACTACTATTTACATAAAATGCCGATTTACTCCAATCAACTTGTCAATAGATATCAATCAGGAACTGATGTCCAGTCCACTTATGTGAAAACAAAAATGTATATATTTTATGAACAATGGTCTATTTTTTATCAAAGTGGTTACTGTATTGATAAAGACAGACATGGCATTAATTTTAATGAATGAGTTTTTAAGGCTAGGTTTTTTTTGCAATTTATACTATATATATTAAGATGGTTATTCAACATGAGTGGAAATTAAGAATAAGTCATCAGTAATTTATGACTTAAAAGAAAATTTATGAATTCTGAAAGGTTAATTCTGCAGGCTGTCACCCTAAAAGCAACATCTCGCGCAAAAACCAAACAACAAATCTGGAAGACAAGTTGGAAGAGTGTTACACTTGCTGCAGTGAATATTACAAGTTCTTGCAGCATTCACTTCAAGAAATCAAGTGGTTTAAAAAACTGGAAGTGTGCAGAGGTGTTCCTTTTGGGCACTGAACTCTTTTCTGTGTTTCAGTACAAAAGAATGACAGCCACTTAAAATTATAAAACAATTTAATAATGAAGTATTCTTTCTAAATAACGCATAAAAGCAGTTATGTCACGCCTTTACTCTAGTAGAAAGGGCCATGGCCAGACCTTCACCACAGACAAGGCAAGCTCCGTGATCATTGAAGGCACGGGTTGCTAGCGGGGTCTGAAGGCATGCCCCACAAGAAAGCTATGAAAAATTCCTTTCAGCATTTTTTGTAAGGTACTATTTTGTCAGAAAAATTCAAATTTGTTTTACGACAGAATTATTTTATCCAACACAATATTTTCTTTTAATTTGGTCAAAATCTAAACTATCTAGGTGCTTCTTGCTAGCTATGGCCCTGCCACATTGAAATAGAATTGAAAAATTTAGTAGATAATATATTTTTGTATTTTTAGTAATATAGTATTTTAATTTGGTCAAAATCTAAACAATCTAGGTGCTTTTTGCTAGCTATGGCCCTGCCACATTGAAATAAAATTGAAAAATTTAGTAGATAATATATTTTTGTATTTTTAGTAATATAGTATTTTTAAAAATAAAAATCAATGAAAGTGGAGTTTCCCTATGTTTTCTTGCTGTTTGAAGAGAATTTGGGAAGGCCTTTCATTACATAGGAGAGAACAATGCATTCAATATTTGAACAGGCTATCTTGAGCTGTATAGAAAACAGACAAAGCTAGAAAGCTTGAGCAAACAGCCCCCTTTGGAATAAACATGCCTTTACTAAAAAGAAATAGCATATCACAACCATTGTTCTCAACCCCACATTGGCCTTTAGTGAGCCCCACCCCGCATAATAAGTAGCTAGGTAGAAGTCAAGCCAGCTTTTGAACTCAACTGCATCTTCAAAATTACCTCATGTCTTTGTATGCCAGAGCAATTTGAACTGGTGGTAATCTTTTTGTCAACAAGAAAAAATGGTTGGCAGCCTGCTATAAGCTTCATCCCTGCCTTCTTAACCCAATCCAACAAAAACCAGCGTTAAGGAAGAACTTTGCTTCAAGCCTGCAATCATTTCACTGCTCTCTAGATGATGATAATGCATTGCAGCCAGGGGTTCCTCAAAAGTCGTCTTCTTTAGATGACCTTGATTCTTATGCTAGCATTGATTATACGATGGTGAACCAACCAAAAGGCACTCAAGGCCAGTATCCAATCCCAGCACAGAGGGCTGCGAACATCAAGGGGGTACCATTCAAGGGTAGAAAAAGCAGTGCCCCAGATATAATCTCACTTGCAAAGACAAATACCACTGGCAAAAATGCTAAGAAAGGAGGAAAGAGTGGACTTGTGCTGAACTTAAAGGCTTCACTGGAAGCAGGAGGGTTAGATTTCAGTAAAGCAAGGAGAAAACCTAAAAATAAATTGTCCCGAGAGGATAGTAGTGGAGATTTGCCCACCCATTCAGAGGTTGAAGAACATGGTGTCACACCAACTGAGGAGGTCTTTTCACCAGGTACACCACCCATAAAACCTGGACGGTCCTCATCATCACCAGCAGATCCCAATAAAGAAGATGTTGTTTATGATGAATTAAATCAGCCAGAACTAAGACCCAAGTCACTACAGATTACAAAACCGAAGAGAAGTCCAAAGAAGTCTTAGAGTACACTGAACTTTTCCTTTAGTGCACATTATTGCCATTAATTAGTGATATCTAAGGTGGCATTCATTAGTAGCACCTAATTTTATGTCCACTTCGTACCACTAGTTTATTAGTAAGAACTACATGCACTTAATTATTGCAGAGAACCAACTTACAGGATTATTCATTGTCCTTGTGGGATCAGTATTATAGCCTGCAAGCATGCACTGCACTGGGAAGTGAGAGAGTTGTAGAGTCTAGTGCATGACCTTCAACTCTCACACGGGGAGGCCACAAAAAAATGTTTGATTATTCATTTTCTTTCAACTTGGAGGAAATTATTAACATCATCAACAAGGTTAACAGGGCTGTGCTCTAGCAGACCCCGGTGGCCCCTTGCGCCTAACTTTTGCTCTCAGACGACTAGGAAATCTTAGTCTTTTAGTACAGATCATATGCTGGGCTTATGCTAGATTTTACAGTTTCAGAGCACTGGGCTCCCTTCAATTTTCCTTAGAGCGCAGCCTTGGGTGCATATTATTGTTAAATACTACAAATGTACTTATTAACCGAGAGTGAGGTCATTACAGGAAAATCTCAGACCGAGGTCTTGATGTATTGACTGAGTGATAGTAACGTCAATACATTAATACCATCAGTTAACTCAAAATTAAAGAATATGAATAGTCACTCAGTTTAACTTCTTACTAGGCAACGTAGTAATCAAATTGAATTTGAAAAGGTAATAATTTTCGTCATGTAGCCAAATTGCATAGCCACTATGATCATAGTACATACTGCTATGTCAATTTGTGCGTTTGTTTATCAAAATATTAATGTGGCCTTCTGATGACAATTGTATTAAATAGTGCACTGCATAAATTATTATCAATTTGTTTTGTTCATGAGCATAAAAATGAAATAATGTAACTGTTTTTTTACTGTAGGAGTGACTCATGACTATAAAATGTGTTTATTGTAGTACAAGGAATATTATTTTTGTTATGACACATAAACCCCTAGAATTTGCTACTGCTCCAATAAGAATTTAAGACCCACAGTTAACACAAAGTCCCAGGGGCAGAAGCATGTAAATTATAATGTACATAATATATTATATTATGTACATTTGTCCTGTTCCCAGAGAATTATGTTATTGTTTACTCTGCCAGAAATCGATCTAGGTTTTTTAACCCCCCCCCCCCCCCCCCCTTTTTTTTTTTTTTTTTTAAAATACATTTATCTTTTTTTCTTATTTTTTTAATTAACAAATACACAAATATGGATAGAAAAATTCTATAAATAAAAAAAAAATATATTTATTATTATTTATATAACAACA